CCTATATGTATTTTTTACAGTGAGCTGATTGCTCAGCAGGCTGCTGACGGGGTTAGCCATGCAGCATAGGTTACCGTTAAAAGTGAGCCAGCTTTGTGATACCAGAAAACCAGAGTAACTAGTCCTTGCACCTGCATCACTGTAAACTGCACACTCAGACTATTTTTATGTCTCAAACACCCAGACTGCGTATGTCCTTTGGATGTACTGAAAAGTTTCCTGGTTCAGGATAAACCGGATTTGTCTTTCTTTACCTCCAGACCTCTCTGAATTGTTCCACACTGCACTGCTGTGTTCACAATCCTGAAGCGTGTGCCAATATCTTGTAGCCACCTTTCAGTGGAGATCACATCTGCAGCCAACAGTAAAAACCCCCTCCAGTCTCCAGACTAGTTCACTAAGTCAGTCTGGGAGGATTGTTTTGGAAATCTTCCCTCGTGATTCCCTGCTTTCTTTGTGTCTCCTCTCTGAGGCCTGTCTTCCGGCCTTTTTCAACATCCCTCCCTCCCTCCTCCCTCCTCTCTCCTCTCTCTCCTCTCTTCTCCCCCTCTCGGTCTGCTCCACTCAGCTGCTCCTTTTTCTCGATGTGCTTCTTAACCTCTTACCTTCCTTCCTCTGGGCGTTCCCTTCCCCCCTCGCAGATTTAACAGTTTGTCTTTCAAATGGTTTTTAAGTAAGCTGTATTAAATTGGAAGGCAGTGGGTATCGCTTACGCTTTTCAGCTACATTAAACAGCAATTAGTGCATTTCATTTACCTTGTGAGTACACCACAGAGATACACAGTGGAGACAGATTGCTGCTCATACAAGAAATGAATAGGTACAAAGTTGAAAAGAATTTTCAAGTAAAATTAAAATTCTGTCTCATCTTTCTTTCACTCTTATTGAGTGTCTTTATTTTATCCGCTCGTTTTCTTTGTGTTCTTGTCTTTCTCACGTTTTTGTAGCTTTCTTTACCGCATATAGCACATGGAGCCCACATGTTGGGCAGATCAGTCTTTGTGTCAGACTTCACAGCCTGTGTGTGTGTGTGT